AAGATAGAGGTTGAAGAAGGTTTCCAGAGTACATTTTCCTTTTTTTTTTTTTTTTTTTTTCTTTTTCTTTTTTTAGTGAACATCAGCTAGACAACAGGAGCTAGTAGATAGGGGGCAAAGATATATGAAGTGAAGCTCCAAGATAGGAGAGAGGGTGATTAAAATATAAGATAAATGGTAGAATGAAGTAGAGAAGAAGGAACGCTCTACAAATAGGCAAGGAGTTCATAACAGGATGACAGGGGCAATGTTAGTGTACCATGTTTGCATATGATAGACAAGTAAATTGGATTTTCTGCCAGATGACCTCTATTCTCCCGTTAACATACAATGAAAGGTCATCTGTGAAAATCCAAATCATAGGGCTGGAGGAGTTAAAGAACAGCTATCTGGGGGAAAAGAGAAAGGAAAATATGGCCACACATGGGAAAATTGCAGCCATGAGCCAAGTCCATCCCATTATGTTTTTATGAATAAACTGTTAGTGGAACATAATGATATTAACTCATTTATTTTACAGGCTATGATTACTTTTGTACAACAACAGCAAAAGCAACGTTGAATGGCTACGACAGAAACTTTATGATCTACCTACAGAGCCTAAATTATTTACCAAGTAGGTTGGCTGTAAAGTCATTAGGATAGAATTCTGTCCTCTTAGGATGTAGAGATCACACTTTAAACAAGATGAAAACAAAACAGTGTTCCAGAGGGGGTGGTGATCAATTTGTTGAAGGGGCCTGAAGTCATAGTCAATACAGAGTAATGGGAAGAACTGGAACATTTACCTGGACTCAGTTTTCATTCCTAGAACAGAACAGTTTAGACATTTCACCCCTACATTTCTCTCCAACATAAATTAGAAATGTTTCCACCATAATGAGAATATAATTACTTTCCCTAGTTTGCAACTACGTATTTAAGGTTATTCTTCCTTAAAATGAAATACTTATATGTATGGCTTTGAAGGAGAAAGGCTGTCATTAGCTTATATATTTGAATATTGGTCCCAGTTAGTAGAACTGTTTCAGAAGGATTAAGAGATGTGGTCTTGGGGGAGGTGCTGTGTCACTGGAGGTGGCTTTGGGGGCTTGAAAACACTCACTTTCATTCACAGTGTGGCTCTCTGCATCTTACTTGTGAATTGAGAGGTGAGCTCTCAGATGCTGCCCCACCTGTAATGCCTCCCTTCCCTCTGCCATCATGGACTGTAACCCTTAGGAACCCTCCGCCCACTTAAATGTTTTCATAAGTTGCCTTGGTCATGGTGTTTTATCACAGCAATAGAAAAGTAACTAAGACAGAAGTTAGTATTGGGGTGATGCTATTCTTGTGACAGAACTGACCATACTGCTTCTTGAAGGAATGTGGGAGAGTTTGGGGTTTGACATTAGAAAAGTGATTGAATGCTGTAACAGAGATGAATGGGCCATCCTAGTAGGACACTGGATACATTAATGCTGAGAGTTATACAGACAATAGATGCCTGGCTCAAGAGACTTCAGAGGGGAACAATATTTGCAACTCAGCTTAGACATCAGTTTGGGTTATTTTGGTGAAAGCTGTAGTTGCTTTCTTCCCTTGTCCTAAGAATTTTCCGAGGCTAAATTTTAAAATAAACCTATTTCTTTGGCAGAAGAGATTTCAAAATAGCCAAATATTGACTCTGTCATATGGTTAATATTAATCACTTTTATGCAGGTCTGCAATGAAAAAAAAAAAAAACCAAATGGGGTGAAAAGAAATACAAAATGCAATTTGAAAAAAAAAAAAAAAAAAAAAAAAAAACAGCACTAGAAAATTGAATGTTGGAGCCATGGCAAGTGTTGAAATAGCTAAATAGCTAAACAGATTAAGAAGAGGCCTGATCTACAAAAGAATAAAGGAGGGTTGCCCTCAGGGCAAGACCCCACCCCGAGGCTTCTGACCTGTGAGGAAAATGCCTAAGTAATTATCTGTTCCTCAAAAACAGAAACAAAGGAAAGCTTCAGCCAACAGTAATTCAATGGGGCCAGGCCAGATTCCAAACAGACAGCAAATTTAGCAGCAATCCCCACTTGCTTCTGGTTCTAGAGTCATAGAGGATACACAAATAAAAGGGTTGTGAAATCTTCTTCCATGGTTAAGGTGAGTCATAGAGGCCAGACAATGTATGACAGAGCAGATCAACAAAAGCAGCTGTGTGAAGCAAAACCTGTTTGTATTGGAGACCCTAAGATGCTGGACATGCTAGCAATGTAGAATGTCTGCCAAGGAGATCTGTATGTACATGGGGAGCTGAATCATCCTGAGAGCGAGATTTACTTGAAGGCAACAAAGTTGGAAGGGCAGAGAGACAGATAACCCTTAAACAATGGGCTATAGGATTTGGAGGGTTTTCTGCTAGGTTTCGGTTCAGTATTTCCTCACTATGCTTGATTCTTCCCTTTTGGAATGTATATTCTATGCCCTGTAGGTTAAAAATAAGCATTTTTTTTTTTACAATTAAGACATTGCTTTGAGTCTTAGAAGAATCTTTGGACTCATAACCAGTGTTTAGACTGAAAGACTATGGAGAATTTTGATATTGGACTAAATGCATTTCACAATATGATACAGGTATGAGCTTATGGGGACCAGGGAATGAAAGGTGGTGGTTTGAATGCAAATGGCTTCTATAGGCTCTTATGTCAGAATACTTGGTCTCCCAGTAGTAGAACTATTTGGGAAGGATTAGAAGGTATGTACTTGTTGGAAGAGGTTTGTCAGTAGGGGTAAGCTTTGAGGTTTCAAAAGACTCATGTCATTCCCAATGTGTGTCAGCTTCCTGCTTGTGGAGAGAGATGTAAGCTCTCAGCTGCTACTCTGGGCACCTGTCACCATGCATTCACTCCATCACCACAGACTAACACTCTGGAACCATAAGCCGAACTAAACTCTTCCTTTTGTAATTTGCCTTGGTCATGAAGTCTTATCACAGCAATAGAAACAAAACCTCTACAAGATTAAGTCAGTGAACATCTAACATAAATTGGGTAGGTGCTCCAGACTCCATCCCCAGTTGAGGAGCTATTAGAAGTTGATGACTATTGGGAGAAGAGGATTGATTTTCCTGTTGAGGTGTGATCAATAGTAAATTTGCCATGCTCAGGTTGATGGCACCAATACTTTTGGATTGGGGGCAGCACTAACTGGACTCACAATGTTATAAAGGGGACATAAACATCACACGGTGTGTGTTGAGGGGGTCTTGGGGATAGATCTGATCAAGATACACTATATACATCTATGGAACTGTCAAAGAATAAATTAAAATATTCTTTTACAACAAAGGAAAAAAAAAAGAAACTGTAACTAAAACTATATAGAATGTTCAACATTTTATCTTCTCAAGTATATTCACTATTCTATTTCCTTTCCATGTCTGCATATTAGTTCAAGGAGTCACTTCTCATATTAAAAGCCTACTTTTGCATTTGACCATGCTAATCTAAAAGAGGTCACTTAAAATGAATCACACTACATTACTGCACAAACCTAAATATATTCCATTCCTTTTCCTACAATTCTAGCACTGTATTGATAGAGTAATAGATTTCATGAAACTTGCAACAAATTCAAAGTTTTAGTTTACCAAACACAGAAAAATCTCAGTATGTTATAAGCAACAATATAGACAAAGCTTTGACAAGTGCCTACTGGTTGAGGTGTCTACTGGTAAATGAGTGGGCTTGTTCTTTTCCCACAACTTTCCCCCATCTTGTGCACTTATAACCAAGGTGACTGCATGATTTTTACAGTGTCTGTCAAATCCTTTTACATATGACTTTGAATGAAATTCATCTAACAAGATAGAGCAGGAGTGAATATAGACTGTTTTATTTGCAGTTGATAGTTGGTTATCACCTCCTTCTTAAGGCTGCTAGGCAGTTTAATGAGCAATTTTTTTCTCCATTTTTGAAGGCCTAAAAATTTTCTACAATTATTGACTGACTGTTTGAGGGGTTGGAGGACTAAACTAAAACAATCAAGGTTGAGAACAAGAACCTTTTACCACAATGCAATTTGACCAGCCCAATTTCTCCATTTTAAACATCCTGTACCTTTCTTAAAATGCAGGAACTCACAATAAAAAATATAAATTTTTTATAACCTAAAATATACCCAAAATTATCATCCTCATTCTTGTTAGAATAAACACCAGCAAGAATTTGTGTATAAGAAAAGGTTAAGTTGTGCTTGACAAAAAACAAAAACAAAAACAAAAAACAAATGAATGGCATTAGTAGTATAATACAATATAATATATTCATAGAGTAATGCAATATGAATGGAGAGGACCTCCATATCTCTGCACACAAAATTATGATGAGATGAAAAGTAATTATCCTGATTGGGAAATATTTTACAAATGTACTAAAATAGCACACTGTGCACCAGAAATATGACTGTTAATCAAAATTTTTTGAAGTGTTTAAAAGGATGGAAATGTTTATTTCCATTTTTGATCATTATATACTGTATGCAAATATTGAATTACCATACTGTATCTATAAATTTTAATAAAAAATTAAAAATTGAAACAGATGGCAATTGTACTAACTGAACAGATTAGTAATGACTATTAAGCAGCACTTTTCAAACCAGTTTTGTGTCCTGGAATTGATCTAAGAGAGAGAGCTCATTAATATCGTCAGGAATAAGTGGGGACAGACATGATTATGTAGTTAAGTAAGAGCTTTGGTTCCCATAGCTGCAAAGTCTGACTCCCTATTTAATAATACATAGTACTCCAATGAAACTCTGCAAAACTTTTAGGCATATTATTGACTTTATATTGACCATGCTGGCTTTCAATGATTAATTAGGAAGAGCTATAATTTTCACCAGAAAATAATTTGCCCTTCCAACTGATATATTTCCATGAAGTCCAAAATCTATACCAAAAGAATATGTGTCATACATTTTCTTTCATGTCAGATGAAAACTTGGCGCGTGAAAGCAAGCACACAAAGACTCACCGAGGTGTACAAGTATCCCTCGCTGTTCATTGCCAAATACAGCTTGGTTTGAACTCCTTGAATAGCCACCACTCGAAGACCCACAGGGATGAGGTTGAACAGAGCTGAAATTTCAAAGAATGAGAAAATGTTACAATTCCAAATTTCATAGCTTCCCAATGTATTCAACAGGAGTACCTGGCTTTCTAAAAGCAGAGTAGACCAAGTGAGTCTAGAAATATACAAATATAGCCTTGTTCTACTTTCTAGTGTATTTGGCTACTGATTATTATTAGGAAGGTCTATAAAGCATATTCTCAAACACTCCAAGGAGAACAGAAGACTTTGGCTGAAACACCCTGTACTTTAGAGCACTGGAGGTCGAAATATTTACATTTGGCGGGGTGGGTGGCAAAAGGGCCGGAATCATTCCACATAATAAAATGTCACCCTTCTCCAATTAAGTTCTTAACTTGTTCCTCTAGACAGTTTCTGAAATTTTCATAAGCACTGTTAGATGGAAGTACTAGCTGAGGAGAAATCCCTACACTCTCCCAAGACACAATACTCAACATTTTCATTTAAATTATCTGTATTATCTCCATTGCAAACACCCGCTAAATAAACCTGGACCTTGCAAAAGATGTTATTTTGTATTCCTATAGTTCAAGAGTAGTACTTCATAAAGAATGGGCATTTTTCAGGATAATAGAGTTCAGCAGGCTGTTGGCATTTAGTCTCAAAGATAATAGGTGTAGGAATAAAAATGAGGTGTTGGAAACTGTTATTTATTATTTTAATGTTTTTTTGCAAAAATGCTGCAAGTGGGCTTACGAGGTCTTCATCTTTCCGTCTGAAGGTCTCACCGCGTGAATCTCACACCCAAGAGCTCCACACAAGCACACACCACTCACTGGAGACAAGCAGTGGGTGTTCTCCCACTGCCAGCTGTCTCCGCCCTCCCACACCACGAGCAAAAATAAAATAGTACATTTTTAAAACGTAGTGTTTGCCACACATATCTATTGAAAATAGCCTGTGCACCTTTCTCCTGGGAGTCACAGACCGATGTTGATGATTTTTGCCTTATTTTGTAAGTTCGTTGGGGGATGATAAACTGGTCTGTTACTTTCATGAACAAGAATGAATGTAAAGGTATCGCTCCCATCTATAAGAATTTTTTTCCCCTAGAATTTTGTCTTTGAGCATATAGACTCTGTTCCATTGGATAGGTTAATGTGAGCAAAATATCAATAGGGAACAAAATATTCCCTGTGAAGTCTACAATACATCTTTTCCTTAGAATTTGGGTGCTATCAAAGAGGAGCTAGGACATAGTGTACAGTTCAAAATACAAGTGTTCCTACCACATGCCACTGATGGCACTTCATTCAGTACTCACCATATAAAAAGCTGTGCCCTTCTGTTACACGAAATACAGAAAACTAATTACAGATTGCAAGCCAGGATCGTGTGCTATAATTGACAATGTAATGTACAGGAAATAAGCCTACTGTCTTTGAGCACATCATGTATAAATCATGTTTCTTTCTGTTGATGATACCCTGCTTATAGCAGATACTCAAAACACATTTGTAGACTGATACCAAGGTATCGTGAAATGATCATGTATTGGGGGGATATAATACATGGCAATCATATTATATAAAAATATCATAGTTCAAAAATCTGAGGCCTACAATAAACTAAACAAAAAGTTCCATGTGGGTTTGTTTAAAGTCCATATCACTATGTGCCTGAAACCTAATAGATAGCAGAGAAACATGGTTAATGAAACTTTAAATTTTTTCCAGGACCTTATTTTATAAAACAATATTCTGAACCTTATTAGTTGGATGAATGTAGCTTTTAATGTCAGAGATGAGCATAGAGGGAAGAGACTGATAATGATTTGACTTTTATGTTGATTTTCACTGATCACAAAATGTTTTAATGAGAAATGAAATGCTTAAATTTCAAACAGTAGACAGTTGAAGGAGAGAGACAAAGAAAATCATTCCATATTATCTATTTTTGAATACTGGCATTGAGTTTGCAGTAGGGCATTCACTATGTAATCTAACACACACACACACACACACACACACACACACACACACACGTCAAAACTGAAGAGTGCAGAAAAATGTGAAGTATGACAAACAATTGATTTCATTTGCGTCTCTGAAGAACATTCAATTAAATACCTAAGATCCTTCCTTCTCTTTCAGCTAGACATGAAGAGATTTGCTTGTTTGTTTAGTTTTCTTGGTTTGGTCTCATTTTTTGACAGGGTTTCTCTGTGTAGCCCTGGCTGTCCAGGACCTCACTCTGTAGACCATGCTACCCTCAAAAACATAGAGTGCTAAAGGATTAATGTGTGCACCAACATGCTTGACCATTCATTCATTCATTTTGGGGATTTTAAGAGCTTTTTTCATGAATAACCTCCATGCTGTCTCTTGCTTGTTTGATATTGTGCCTATATAAAAATAAACCCTTCCACCTTAAAGGGATCACTTTCTCAGGGCAGTGTTGTCTCCTTGGCAATCAACTCCACACTGAACTCTATGCTGAAGCCCTGTTTAAGCTAAGGCCAATTTCTCCAATTAACGCATAATGAAAGGCATTATTTCATGTACTTGGAGATTCATGATATACCAAACTAGTGAAACTATTACAGGTTTTAAGAAAAGGGGGAATCTGTCTCTTCAAATTCCATTCTTTGTACCCAAGGCTGATAATAAAACAGCCTCCATGAAATATCTATCTTTTTCATTTTCAGGTGAAAAGACATAATTTATAATGTCTTACTTGCATATGAAGAAATTTCATTGGCTTGACATTTACCACTGTAGTAAATTTACAAATGGTAACCTTAAATGCACAGTACCAACTGTGGTTTTAGATACTGACATATATAAAGCATGAAATTATTTGCCTTATCAATTGATCTTATTTACCATATCAAAGTAAAAAATAAGATAAAATCAATTAAATTGAATGAAATGAAAGAACTATGATGAAAAGAAAATTATAAACAGAATACTAGGGATGCACGTTGAGAAAATAGTATCATGAGTCACAAAACAAAACTTGTATTGTTGTTCCATTCATTTAAATAATTACTTAAACTTAATATCAAAAATTGCTTGGCTTTTAGGGGTATAAATTTGAATGGTCACACTTATAATTGGATGGATCAGTTTAATTAATAGGCATGTGTGTTTTACTTATGACTTATACAGCATAATATCAATGGAGAAGTGATGATAGCTCCTGGTTGCTCTTCAAGCCAAGCCAGGGCAGTCAAGCTTGTTTTGATTTTTTTGTTTTGTTGTTTTTTGTTTTTGTTTTTTTTTTTTGCTTTTTTTCATTTGTGATACTTTCCATTTCTTTGTTGCATGTTATGATAATACTTACCTTTGATTAACTTACCACTGTACATTTTAATCAGACTAGACATGGATTCTTGTTATCTGGCTATGTTCTTTAAAGATCTCCAAATGTCATTAGCACGCACAAATGTCACGTCAGACAGAGTTATAAGATAAACAAGGGAAGAAACTATGCATTTGTAGGATTAATTAGTATAACCTAGCATACAATATAAAAATTCATAATAACAAGTGGAGCTCTGCCTCTGTGTGTGCGTCTGTGTGTTGTACATCTCCTAAAATGAATACGTACAGTGTGATCTTTATTATTTTGGCATATCACTAAGACACAGCACATTGAATCATCTATTTAAAACAAAACAAAACTGTTCCTTTTGAGGAAATGCAGAAGCATGGAAATAAATATTTCTCCCCTATTTCAACCTGGATATTTAAAGCATATGAGAGCAATCCTGACTGGTAGCTCATCACAAACTTCCCTTTAACAATGCTCATGTTCTGGAAACAAGATAGAGTGTAGCAGTGTAGCATACATCCTTTATTGGTGGAATATTTTATTATGGATCACTGTGTATTAATGTATTACTTGACAGCAGTAAAGTGCTCTGCTTCATTTGTGTGGTTGTTTTAAAAATAATAGTATGCATGAAGGAGCAACCAGGATTTGTTATAAAACTTTAATATGCTCACTGTAACACAGAATTTGGAAAAACACCGAAGACCCATTCAATATATAAGCCCTTCATCCTAGGACCTAAGACATGGTTCTTCAAGGGTAACTGAAGGTAATTTTCTCTTGAGGTAATATTTCAATTCCCAGTCCGGGAAGCATTCTTAAAAGGTGTGAAAATCTTTAATCCTTTTAATACTGGGACACTTACTGCCTATGGTAATACAGTTCCAAAGGAAGAACTACGGAGAACTCCTTAGCAGCCAGACCTACTTTCTTCAGCTGTTTTTTCAGCCAACAATGGGAATCTTTCTAGAAACTAACAAATCTAAAAGGAATGAATCCAAATTTTGGAAAACAGAGAATGAATTATGAGAAGCAAGAATTTTAGTCCTCAGAAACAAATGAGTAAGTCTGCAGATATCTGTAAATTGCAATACAGCAATTATTAAATTTCAGAAAAGCACTATTTGTGTTTTTGTTTTAAATACTATAAATAAATATTGGTTGATAGAGGTTACATAACAGGTCACTGGGCTTCAGGCATTACAAATAAAGTCCCTTTGGGTGCATTTCCTTCTTGATTCACCATTACTGTCTCCAGTTCAGTGTAAATGAAGTGTGTTTGCAGACCCATGGTAGTAACTTGGTGTGAAAGTATCAGTTAGTCTCAGAGTTACTGGTATGTGCGGCAGGAGTGGGGTAGGGGCAAAAGCTTGCAACAATGAATTATTGCTGTGTGAAAACACTCCTGCCTCTTGGGATGAGACTCATTTTTAAGAGTGGAGATAGCATGCTATTTCAGGATTGTTGTGTGGGTGAGAAATTTTTCTGGGGGAAAAAGTAATAAATCCAAAGGACAGCCATAAATCTATCTAGATTACCATGGAGATGACATTTGGATCAACCTTCAGATGGTGTCAACATTATTTGTTCTACTTTATATTTTAGATGTTTCCCTGTTCAACTTCCTGTAGGTGAGCCTGTGTAAACAGGGTTATGTCACATGACCACATTTTGCATTCACTTAAGGATTTGGCAAGATTTGTTTGAATTAAAAATAAATAAAAAGAACCCAAAGTCAACAACGTGCTGGTCCATACTATTTATTTATTTAGCAGTCACTTACTATAAGTGCTGTCCTCATCTTTGGTGCCATCAATGGTTCCATCTGCCTGCAGTTGCAAGTGGTAGCCTTGTCGGCTGTATAGTTTGGTAACTATACCCTTAAGCTGAGGCTCTGCAAAGAGAACAATGGCTCGGGTCAGTAGATGAGACGCAGGATTCAAAGTTCTAATTCCATCTACAAGTTTTAGTGGGGAAAAAATACCAAATTACATTTTCAAAGAGTCCTCTGGAAGAAAGAAAAGAAGTAAACAAATGAGAAGTTTCGGAATAAACATTAGAGTATTGGAAAAAAAAAACATATGATTTTTGTTTCAAAACATCGGTAATGCCCTGAACCTTTGACAAGCCCATAGTTTGTGATAGCTGGTCCTTTGGCTTAGTGGCACTCAACCTCATTAAACATTCTGAATGGGTTGGTGAACAGCAAGCACAGTCTGTCTTCTTAATAATGTGCTACTTTTCATGTGGAAGAAAAAAATCAATACAAAAATAATTTAGCATAGCTTACCAACCAGGTGGGAAAACCCACCAGCAAAGATTTCCTTAAGAATCAGCACCTTAAGAATCCCACCACTCTAAGAAGGGTATATCTCTAACCTAGAATCTCATCAAAGGACCTAGGGTATATCTCTAACCTAGAATCTCATCAAAGGACCTAGGGTATATCTCTAACCTAGAATCTCATCAAAGGACCTGTATCTAGAAAACTGAGGCTTCCATACAAGACGATGAGAAAGGGGTAGGAAAAGCAGGCACTGCCATCCCTATCACATAATTTCTTCTTATGAAAAAATGGACTTGAAAAGAACGGTTTCTGTTGTTAAGGAGGAAGGAAAATTAAATTGTGCTTATTTTCAAATGTAATACAAAAACATGATTACCCAAACACATAGGTTCATGATTAAAATGATCTTCAATTATGAATCACCCTAGATTAATCAAGCACTTAATTTATTTATAACAGCCATGATATCTAAAATTTGCTTTTATTGAATACAGACACCTGCGGTGAAATAATATTTATTGGAGTCACATAATCACACACTGTAACTGCTTACATCTTTTTAAAACAAGCTTAAATCGCAGCTAATGCATTTACAAACTTTGTGCAAACTGAAGACCTATGCCTGCTTTTCCATTCCAGGGTGTGTAGAACCCACAGAGAAATAACTGATCTCGAGTAAGTCTGGTTTGCTGTAATACTTGTCAAGTAAAAGGTAAGAAAATGGTGCGAAGGATTCATTTGGTGAAGAATGGTAAATAAGCTGCATGCTCCCCCTGAAGGTCTGTCTACCTTGACGCAACCTGACACTTAAGGCTCTCTGATTTTCTCCTGTCCTGGGAATGTCGTGTCACTCTTAACACTGAAATCCCTCAAAAGGACCCCAACCTAAGATGATTTAAGTCCTTTCTTTCCTCTTGCATTTAATGTCAAGCAATCAGTTTTAGTAGTCTGACCAGATAACTAAGACCTTTGACGCAAGGTTCTAGAAATATTGCTCCCCTCACCCCATCCCCCAGCAAACGTTTAAAAGCTGCCCCACAAGTCAAGTCTGTCCTGAAAAGAAATGGAATGCCTAAACAGTGGAAAGCTCATATCCCTTGGGAGTGGGGAAGGGTCTGGCAGGCAGAGATGAAAGCAAAGACAGGGATTCCCTGGGTTTTCCAGGAGGGGTTAGCAATGGTGTCAGCCCTGCTCCTCTCTTGTAATTTTCATAGCACACGACAGCTTGTCTGAGTTACGCCTTCCCTGAGCCCACGGGCATGCACTCTCATACACGCATGTGACATGTCTGAAGCTGAGGGTGCACCTCCAGGGCAAGCTACGCTCCTGGGCTCTGTGCCTGTCCCAGGGCAGTTGCAATGCAGCAAGCCTGTTAACTGTTACGGAGGCAAAAAAGCAATCTCTTTCCCACGTACGCACACCAGCTAGGGGGCCTCATCTGCACAAGCTGGGCTCCAAACTCACCTACGCTTCCATGCCACCCCCAACCCCCTCCACAGTCATAAAGTAAGGCAAGGGAAAAGATAAAGGCGAACGCCCCTTCCGACCTGACCTGGTCTCCTTCTGCGCCTCTTCTTGGAGCCAAAGAGTTTGACCCGGGAAAAGACATTTAACTTGTTTTTGTCGCAGCTGGTCTTGCCTTTACTGGGGCTGCTGACACACTTGCAGGCATTGGATTTCTCGCGCTCGCGGGCTTGTCTCTTTTGCCGGATGAGCGAGCTGGCGATAGCCGCCGCCATGGCCACGACGCCCACCACCACCACTTCTTTGGGGGCCCCTTCTCTGCCTTCGCCTCCTCTTGCTCCTCCGCTGCTGCGCTGCCAAGGGCTCGCGCCTTCGCCGCCTGGGTCTCCTTAGCCTGCGCTTGCTTGGCCCGGGCTTCTGGGCACTCGGGCTTCAGTCGAGGAGGGGGCTCAGCATGCCGTCCGAGCTCCTCTGACGGTGGTCCGGCTTCCACGCGGGCTCTGGCAGCCTTGGTCCGAACCGACGCCACAGCCCCGGGCCGGGATCGCAGGCGAGACAAGCAAGGCAGGAGGCAGAGAGCTGCGCTTGTGACTGCGTGCGCTCGGCCCCAGAGCCCCGAGGACACTGTGCAAGTCCAAGCGGTTCGGGTCGGAGTTTCGCGGCACCCCCCGCCCTGTGCCGCGTGGAGGGGGCCGGAGGAGGGAGGCGGGCGGAGGGAGAGCGCGCGGGCGGGAGAGAGGCCGCGGGCGCGGGCGGCCGGCGCGAGGAGGGAGGAGGCAGCGCACGGGGGAGCGCGCCCTCGCCCTGGCCCCTCCGCGCTTCCACTAGTCCTTGCAACTTCTCGGTCTAGGGATCGGCAAAAGTTGGCCCGTGCCAGCTTTCCCGCAGGGATCAAACAGGTAATGGCCTGGCATCGTCGCTTTGCTGCTGCTCTGGGCGCGGCACAGTCGGCACAGTCGCAGCACAGGAATTCAGTCGCTGCAGGCACCCTCCAGAAGAGCGCGACAGCCTGGCGGCGGCCCCCTCCCTACCTCGGCGGCCCCTCCCTCCCGGAACCCAGCTACTGGCTCCCGCCCGCCCGCCGCCCCCAACCGCCCCACCCCCGACGTGCAGAGTCCCTGCTCTTGCTAACACCTGTAGGGGATTAAGACACTGCCCCAGGGCCCAAAGCCCTCTCTGCCCTAAAGGGGCTCAGGGAGAAACGGTGATGGAGGAAGTACTGGGATGAGATAGTTGTCTTGCAGGCACTGAGGCTTGCTAGGCTTTGGGGCTGGCAGGAGAGGGGCAGGAGTGTGACTTGAGTGCAGGTCTCAGAGTTAGCCCCGCCTAAGCCTCGGGAAGTTGGCCAAACTCCTGCACCTGGTTCAGCTACGAATCCCACTAGAGACCAGCGGAGGCTTTTTGTGTGGCGACACTTGTAACCCTTCAGGAGAGGAGGCCAGGGCTCACGGACGGGCTCAGCTCCCCCAACACAGTGGCAGCAGCAGGCACTGCAGAGCTGCGCCCGCACACCACGCTGCCACCCAGTGGTTTTTGCTGACTTTTCATTCAGTGTCAATGCGTGCTGTCCAAACCTCTTTTTTTTTTTTTTTTTTTTTTTTCTTTTTTCCTTATCGCCCCCTCATCTGGCCATTTGGGAGCCACGCTGTGAGCCTAGGGATGTACCACATGCAGTATTGGTAAAAAGTATATTCCATATCTTGAGTTAAGCTCCAGTTTTGTGATTTCTTCTCCTAACTACACCTCAAAACCAAGAAGGTTCCTCTATTCCCCCAATGCTGGGATTAGCTTGGCCTTTTGCTAGCTTTATTTGTATTCATGAGTTCTTTCCTTAGTCCTTGTAAATGCAGGAGAGAAACTAATAGTCCATCCACCTCTGTACCTCCAGACTCTGTTATTTTACTGTTTGATTTCTTCTTTGAGGCTAAATAGACAGCTCACAAGAGCAGGGCTGCTCCTCACTTTCGGTACTGGACTCCCCCACCCCCATATCTTTTGAGAATTCACTTAATCGCAAAACCATTGCTCAACTTGCCCCCCCCCCAGGCTCCAAGAAAGCAAAGGACACGTCCTGTTAACTCACAGGACAGAAGAGCCCTGCTTCGTTCCCACCGTGCCAGGAATGCCTCCACATTCACTACTCTTGCTCACTATAATCCCATTAACTGGCTCAAACCTCATCAAATAGTCTACACTCCATAAAACTCCATTGAAAATAATTGATGAATGACGGGTTGGCTTTGATTCCGAGAGGAAGGAAAGGTGTGTCTTAGCTCAGAAAGAGCTATTGGCTAAATTTCAGGAACTATGAAGGGAAGTAGTCTCACCAAAAAGCTGGATCAAAAGCAACCTTGACCAGGGTCAGATAGTTGGGATTTGAGATGGGCTCACTGTAGTACCTTAACCAAGAACCCTTGTTTTCCAACTTAAATCTCTTTTGGAATCCTGTTCCAGAGTATGAAAAGGCTAAACAAGGACAAGTTTTTTTTTTTTTTTTTATGTAAGAAAGGACAGAATTAGGGAATGTTAAGATGGAAAGAATTAGGATGTTACAAGGAAATGCGAAAGGCTTTCCTCCACTCCTTTCTCTTACTTCTCCATTCGCTCAAGCTCATATATCCACGACGTATCTTCACAGTGCCTGTACATTTATTGGCCTGTCTGTACTGGTTATTGGCAGTAAACAGACCCATGGTAGACTTTAGCATACATAACTAGGGGAGACAATTATCAGTACAAAGTAGCAAACATAAACAAGTAAACATTGTCTTCTCACCATCTAGTCCCCATCTACCACCACTAGCTTTTTTTTTTTTTTTTTTTTTTTTTTTTTTTGAGTAAGAATTGAACTCTATGAGTACATGGGTCCACTAGGCCAAAGCTGACAACTTGAGCCAATAGCTATTTGGAAATGCTTTTCCTGCTGTAATCTTCTTCTCTGTTATTTCTATAAAATTCATTTTATAATTTAATTGTTTTTCAAGACGAAGTTTCTCCTGTAACTCACTACGTAGACCAGGCTGGTCTCGCACTCAGAGATCCTCCTGCCTCTGCTTCCCAAATGCAGGGATTAAAAGTGTGTGCCACCTCCACCAGGCCTATAAACTTTATTTTTAGCTACCGCATAAAATACAAAAATGAAAATTACGACTGGAGTATTACAGTGTTTTAGTACATGTATACATTCTGTAAAATTTATTTAAATCATGTTAACATCAAACATTCACTATGAAAATAAGCAAAACTGTTTCTTTTTAGCTTTTTGAAATATGGAGTGCATTATTGTGCATGGCTATCCTACTGTGTAATAGGACAACAGAACTTCTTTCTCCCATCTAGTTGTTACTAACACATTGATCAACCTTTCATCCTCCCCATTAAACTTGATGATTCCCAAACAAGAAGCATACAGTATAAAACATAGTCTTTTGTCGGCACCCAAAGGTAAGTTCTACTTCTTGATACCCTCTTCCTCATTCTTTCATTTCTACACGAAAATACCTGATGTGTTGCTGATGAAACTGGACTAGGCTTTCTCTAATTTTCTGCATTCTCCTCTCTCTTACACTAAGATGTACGTGACTGGGCAGTCAGTTCAATTCAGAGCACAAAGAAAAATATCTGTAGGGATGGATAGTTGGTGTTATTGCATAGGACTCAAGATTGGTTCCAGGCACTCATGTTAGGTAGCAAAGGAAGGTCTAACACAGTCTTCTGGCCTCTGTGGGCACCCTCCGCAGCATGTGGTAGACACACAGACAAGCACACACACACAGGTGTGTGTGCATTTATGCATAACAAATGGGTCCACCTAAATTATATTATCCAATTATCTTAACTATAAATAAACCAGGCATTATTCATGCTCTTAACACCCATTTCTGTTTACCAAGTGCTTAGTAACTCAAAGAAGAACATTAATACCAAAGAGGATTTTACCAAAGCCCTATCCATCTCAGAAGGGCAAAAGGAAAGACAGAATTGAAGCTGTCCTGGAAAAGCCCATTTGTCTTTTCTTTCCTCCCCACTACCATCTCAGACCAATAGAATGACATTTGAGTGGGAGAAAGCAAATGAATTCTTTTTTGACACCTGCCTTCAGAAAGGAGACCCTTTCTCCTGACTTACTTTATCCACAGCAGTTCTGCTATGGGATTTTTGGATTCTTCTAGGCCGTGTGGGACTATGTACCTGTGTTCCTCAACAGACCTCCTATTCCCTGTTGCACCCACCGAGCTCACTTGTCGACCATGTTCAGAAAAAAAAATGTGTTTTTAGCACTTTTCTCCATTTCAACACAGAAAAAAATTCTATTCTGCATCCTGCTAATCAGAAGCCTGACTGACCATGTGACTCTGGTAGGTATGCCTTTCTTCCCATTGTGAGGAGTATTTTCGTCAATATCAGTCACTTTCAAGTTGTATTCTTCAGCTCCTCAAAGTACAGGACCATAAAATGAGTTCCCTTGACAATGTTTTAAACATAGCACTTCATCTATTCTGTGCACTGCGGCTCATTGTGTGATTTCTTTTAAAAATAAACATAAAAATTCAACTACTAAAAACAGAATGTTGGAAAATGCCTGGATGAGCTGCTCCTTAAAAGACTTTTTAGGTCTGTGAGTCTTAGCTTCATTTTGTGTACACCAATGCTCCTCCAACTGCCTTATCTTCTAGGACTTGCCATTTTTCCCTTCCTGCTTCACCAAAATATAAAGTATCACTTGAATCCCAAAGAAAAATGCTCAAGTCCTTTGGTCCCCACTTTGTGAGTTCACTTGAGAAGCAGGATTGTAGTACTGTTTTCCAAAATGTATGGGAGTTATCAGAGCATAGAATGCTGGTGGTTCTCTGCCAGTGTTTTTGGCAGGCCTCAGATGAGCTGTGAGAAGCTGAGGGGACCTGCTCTCCAGAGGCTTCTCCAGGAAAGAGACAGAAACTCAAACAGATGTGACTGTGATGAGCAAAAATGAGAGAGTTGAGACAGCCTAATCAGGAGCAGTCTCAGAACCTTCAGAGCAGGAAGGAATTGGCTGTCTCTGTGCAACTCTGAAAATGAGAGATTTCAAACACCCTTCTTTCGTAAAGATAAACATGATCACAGCCATTTGCCAGTTCCCTCTTATGCTCTCCCTCTCTTCTCTTCTCTCTCCTTCTGCTGCTATTTCTCTCCTAACAGTTGATCAAAACCTCTCTGTAGTCATTTACAGGTCAAGAACTGATACTGAGTTCTCTCTTAGGGAAGGGGGTCAGACTCAAGTGTATAAGGGTCAAGCAACACCAGGACCTCTTCGTCCACTGAATGAGGTATGGTTCGTGGTTAAAAGACAGAAAGCAAGCAACACATTATGTGTTCTGTCTACTTTTGTCCAAAAGCCTCCTCTGAAACCAACTAGACAGAAATACAAATGAGGAACTTAGAGAA